GGTTTGAATGATACAAGCAGACTGCCGTCTCCGTGTGTATCTCATAAGCGCCGCGGTAGTGAGTGGCAGGAAGTAATTTGAAAATTCGAATCTCTTATATCAATTCCATTTACTGCCCTCTATCCTTCATTCCAGTCTGCTTCTGCCGCTACCTCGTCACAAGCTACTTCGATGCCGTTATAGAACGTACTCTACCCATTGGTACTAAGGTTATCGCGGCTTGCTATCGACTACGGCATCAGAAACAGCAGACGGAAAGCAGGACACTGTAATTGCATGCCTATTCAGCTTTGTCAGCCCACACAGCCCTCTAAAGAAAAACGTGTCGCTTGCAATTTGACCTAGTTAGGACCAGACGGTAGTGAGGCAGTCAACCTCATGGATAGGCAGCGGTAGTGGCATAGCTTGTGAAATCCTCTGTTAGGTAAGGATATAGAAGTTGATATCACAGGCCGTGTCTGGCTCGGTGGTCTTGATTCTTCAATCGAATCCGATTCAGTTTTTCTCAATCGGGTGCCCTTTCTGACAAACGGATCAGTATCCTGAAGGAACCTGACTTCGCCCTTATTCCTTTAGCAAACACGACCCCTCGTTGAATCAACGTGCGAGCGACGAATTGGCCCCAGCAAATTTCACCGCTGTCAGCACCCACGGTAGCACGATCGTGGTATGTCGGATCCATTGGTCGATTCGCAGGGTCGTCGAAATCGCCGCAGCTTTCAACGGCGTCAAGAGTACCAACACAAAATTGTGAAGTTTAGTTGCTATCTCAGAAACAACGAACGGTCTATCGCTGACTATTTTTCTTGCGGCACAAAAGAGTTATCTTGGAGAATGCAGAAGCAGGAGAAGGGCAGCAGAAGCTGTCCGGTAACTTCAAACGTACAAACACCTAGGGATTACGAAGCAATAAAGGTTGTTTTACCAGAACAGATAGACGGACGACAAACTGCTTCGTACATGTGTTACTGTATAGCATACGGAACGAATACCTGTTTTTGATATATTGAATTATTTATTTATACAAAACAGCATAACGCGCAGGATATATTTCACGGAATGCTGACGGGGTGAGGTAGTGCAACAAGTAGCCTTAAGAATAAAATCAACTTTATGGTATCTTCGTGCATAAAACATCCTAGTCCCAACACTACCGGGTGGAAACTGATAGATATACAAGGAGAGCACATCTGAATCTATTACGGTATTTATATGAACATTCGACCCACGACACTCTGCCGCATCATAGCCTGTGCGTTCACCTTATGTCTACCGTATAGATTCTTACGAATAAACAGATCCTGTACTAAAAATACGCCGCTGCCGCTGCCGCTGCTGGCATTGCTATTCATAGCTGGGGATGAGACTAGGCGACAGGAGCCTCTTCAGCCAAATACGATTAAAAAAAGCCTGTTCAGTGCGGGCAAGGCGTTCCATAAAATATGAAGCCGGTGTGGAAGCTTCCCGTTAATGCGGCTCAGCGTTATCGGCCTAGTAGGACCGACAAATACTGCTAACTGATAACATCGTTTTTCTTTATAGTTACGTTTGTTAAGGCAATTGCATCGTTGTTGATATATAGCACAGTATTTTCAATGCTTGTTATTTACCAGTGTAGACTTCCTAGTAGTTCAAAATGTGTGTAACTTCACTAGCTAGCACCGACACTGATAAAGAGCAGGCTTGACTTCTGTGAATGATTCAAGACTCGAACAAACCTCCATTATGCCAAACGCCCAAAGGGGGGGGGGGGGAAGGAGGATCACGTACGATGTCAGGAGAGCGGTGTACAACAATACTCGGCAATAGCTAAAGCATTAAGGTGTGTGTACATGGTGGGCAGGAGCAGCATTTCAGTACATTCAATTGCATAGATATTATTTACAAATTCAGTTCGAGCTGTTGCCATCAGCTGAACGGAACTCTGGCAGATTATTTTACCCAATATTAAAAAAATACTTTACGAGATGGTCGGATTTGAACAAGTACGTCTAGACTTCGCTACTGCCTGAATAAGACGATGGATAGAAAACGTACTTTGCCTCCTTCGAGTTCATAATGCCAGCGGAATGATTCAGGAAAGACGCTTAATTATTGGTTAGTATATACCTCTGGGTGTGAAGCCTCGATAAAGAAGTTGACCTATACACGCGAACATGCACATCTAAATTTCTTATCAAACATCTAAAAACACTGTTAGCTTGTTATAGATTTTATTTGCGATTATGTTAGTTGCTCATTGAAATTAAATTGGGCGATTATCTGCACATCGTGGTCTTTTCATGAAAACTACAAAAACAAGTAAAACCTTTTCAATTTCATAGCTACAGACAGACGACCAAAGACTTCACTATTTAAAACTACACACTTTTGATTTCGAGGAAATATCCGACTTTTGTGGTTCCAACGATCTCCTAGGCCGATTTCGTGGGAACGTTGATTCACAATTAAACAGTAAACTTCAAAGCTATCAACATATTCAAAGTGTTTTTTCTTTTTTTTTTTTTCGTAGATATCTCCTTAGGTCAAACACAAAGAGAGCAAGCAACACTGGAGACCCAACTCTCCTGCCGAACGCTAGAAATAGCTGGGTATAACTGGCTTATATCAATATCGATATTGACGAGTGGTTCGATAAATAGAAGTGGTACCACTTTCGAGTAGCATCATGAATATTAGGATGCTTCGTTTCTTCCAGTGACAGGTCCTGATTCACTGTGCCATATTGCGTTTTTCTGACCAAAATATATGTCTTTCTCCGCCTCCGATGGTCCGAAAATTTGAAAGAAAAAACAACAACAACAACAACTCTTTAAATCATTCTTTAGGCTACTCAGAGCCGTTAGGCGCTCCTCAAATCATGTACAATTACATACGTATACGGATCAAAGAAATCAAATCAAGGTCGATCGCCAGCACCAATGACAGACGTGGACGAGTAGAACGAATTTCGAAAAGTGGAGCTTCGTCGCCTTTTTTCTCTCTCGTTCCGCTAATTCTTTTTTTATTACGCTTCGCTTTTAGCATCGTGACAGCGCTGGCCGCATTTTTACCAATTAGGAGCTCTTCATCCACAGATGGTGCTCACCCGCGATTCCGTAGGTACGATGACATGTTAATATTTTGTTGCATTATCGTCAGTTCGGAAGCTGGACCTCATCGTAGAGCTCTTTTCCTCTTTCGCGTTGGTCACGATGACTCCGTCCTTTAGTTTCTTTCATTCCTTTCGTTCATTTCTATTTTTTTCGCACCGTTGACGTAGTAGCAGGCCAGGATCAACTATCGGTGCAGTCGTCGTGTACAGCTGCACTAGCCAGCTGTTTTTGGGCCACCTATTGTGTCTCCGTCTCAGCGGTAGCAGCAACAGACGTATAAATAATGCCACGCGACTTGAGCTACGTATATGATACATCATGAATCGTAAACGCTGTTATTTCCGCCAGAAAATAACTAGCCTGATAGAGCTGGCCGGCAGGGCTAGCAGTCATCATTTGCCGTCGGATTTTGCCTGAAGATATGTTGTTTGTAGTACATGGTTAATATCTACTGGTATGGTCTTAGCTACAAGTCATCATTAGGCAGTCATTTCTATAGCAGCAGCAGCAGTAAGCGGAGCAGATGCGACGGGTGGATGGCCGACCAGTTTGGAAGAACGAATGTCACAAGGCGGAAGACCGCAGACAAGTTAGGGGCTTGTCACACAAGTATAACCGCACAATGTAAAATAGCCGATATTAACGAAATAGCTGGCGTCTGCGCTAGAGCGGGCTGTCCAATGTAACAGCTAAGCGGCCATGTCCGTCTATGGCCTACTGCATACAGCCGATTCAACGTCGGGCCAGCCACGCGAAGTGATATGGAAACAGGAAACGACTACAAGCGAGGAAGTCAGGCGACCAAGAGGCTGATACTACTAGTGTACACGCCAATGATTCAGAAGTTTGATGCTATTGCTACGATTTGCCATCGCTGACGCTTTCAGGTGGCGTACTAAAGATAGCGACATAAATTTCAGCTTGAAGGCGTATCGGTCTCAAGCGCGGTTCGAACTACGTGAATTTAACAGTTGACGATATGAAGCCCGTGGGTAATGAAGACCCAGCTAGTCTCGTGACCTTCAAGTCTAAATTTTTAGAGAGAAAAATTATCCATCTGTTTTGATCAACCGCAATACACTATTATACAATCAGTTACTACATCCACTATGATCTTCTTGTATCAATATCAAAATCACTAGTAATTAGTCATATTTAAAGATGCACAAGCCAACGCATAATCCACTAAAAGAAAATTTATAAATGTATTACTCTGTTTATGATGTTCGAGAGCCTTTCTCCTATACTCTTATTATTAGAAAGATAATCTTCGATTCTGGTCCATTGGAAAAACGTACTTAGCAGCCGACCAAACACTGTTTATACTCTTGTTAGATATATATATATATATATGTTAGATATATATATATATATATATGTTAGATATATATATATATATATATATAGCAGAACGTATACGGAAAAGGGTATTTACAAGAAGACATTTGATTTTTATAATCATATAAATTAAAAGGAACAATTTGATAACAATGGTATAACACGGTAGAGATGGGAAGATTTATAATTATTCGAAATATCACAGGATACTTGTAGAAATTGCTTTTGCAAAAAATGAATGCTACATAGATAATATACATAGTGTAATATCACTATAAAAAGTAGAAAGATGTGAAAGTATAATTACCCCCCAACGTGCAACGAATGCTTGATCTTGTTTCATGCTTACCATCTTTATGTTTTGCATGAGCAACGTTCTTTTGACAGGAATCAGGTCCAGCCAAGGTCGTCTAAGGCATCCCTGTTGTTATTATCAAACGTTTCCGTTTTGGCCGCAACATTTTCAATTCTAGTTCACCATGAAAATCTTCCCACATTATTACAGAAACTATAACAATAACTGACAATTGATAAATACCGATCGTAAATGAGAATAGTGATACTCACCAACGTAGTACTGCCTTCGTTGGGGGCCTGTACCCCGTCACAGGTCGCATCACCCGAAATGGCCACGTTGTAGCCTCCAACTTGGCCTCCATTTCGGCGGAGCTCCTCGTAAATGAAGCAACGGAAACGATCTTCATTAGAATGAGCTGTCGCGTGGTCCATCTGTAAAAAACATCAAATGCGCGCGAGAAAAAGGGTGTTGAGGCCGTGCGAAAACTGTCGACATCAGATTGGCAAGATTAAGTGTCATATCAGGCGTTTTGGCCCGAGGGACAAAAACAGCCTGTTAGTCAGCAGCGTGATTGCTTAGTTGGCTGTATAGAGCACCCACTAATGTTGCCAGGGCCTATATGGGTGTGTGCTTTGTATGTTATGTTGTACTTTAGGGCACTTGACCTAAAATCCCATGTGCCTATAAAATACAATATGTATTTTTACTTCGACAACAATGCTCAGTGATATTTTTAGATTAAAGCCGTTGTCGAAGGTATTGTTTAGCTATACTACCGAAAACCTTAATATGTTATGACAGAAACTATATATCTGCATTTGCAAAATGTGTATATTTTTGATCTTATTATACTATATTAATTATAAATCCCAGTTTCTTTATTACATCGCAATGGACTAGTAAATGGTGAAACAGCCGATATTAATGGAATCTCCGACGTCTGCGGTTGTTTAGTGCTTTGCCTAGCCCAACGAATGAATAGATGGCTATCTTTGCTTATGGCTAATAGTAGCAAATAGCATACAGCCTACATAACCGCGAGCCAGACGCACGAAACCATGTGGAAAAAGGAAACGGCGGTAGGTGAAGAAGCTAGGCAGCCAAAAGCCTGGTCCTACAGCTGTGCGCAAGCGAGTTGCGATCAATGTTAGGTAAGCATCAATGAACGATGTATAAATGACACATGGCTCCTCAAAGTAAGCGGTGCAAGGCACGGCTACTGAGCCCGGCGTCTGCTAGCAGCACCACAGTACCCCGTATTGGAATCGCTGACAAAGGTCAACGATGGGTAAATTCCCGAATAGAATCCGAACGCGCCTCTTGTCGACCCCATATGGGTGGGGCAGTCGAAAAAGGTACGCTCCTCTGCGTGTCAAGGAAACTTCTCATAGCGCGCGTCGACTTCCTTGTACACAGGTGTCGAAAGGTGGGGCAAAATAGGACGGAATATTTATACGATCCCACCCACATTTTCCAGGCAGACTCGCAAGAACTTTTTGCACTCATATATATATATATATATTATAAAAATACGAATTAGGAAATACATGATTGTTTTAAGTAACAGCTATCTGATCAATTCATATAATTACACACGTCAATTCTTCTATCGTAGAGCAGTTTTTCGCAATCAAATGCCTGTAACACCATCAGCCATTCTGACTGTTATACGCCCGTTGCGCAGCAATTGCGTCATATGTTGTGTGGGCGTCACTGCGCTGGCAAGGACAATTGGAATGTCGGTGTGGGTAAAGCGAGCTGGAAAGAGAGGTAAGCGGGCGGGTGGATGGGCGGGAAGAGGTGCGGAGGCATCGTCCTCTATTGTTTCACTGGCGGCAGCCTCTTTTGGGGGTTAGATGAAGCGGTGGTGGAGAGTCCTACATAGATGAAGCAAACGTGGTAAAGAAGAAGCATCACTGAACTGCTCCGGCTACGCACGCTATCGATGGCAACCGAGACGATTACGACGACGCCGGCCACCCCATCGAGAACTGTGAAGGATGCCTATAAAATCTGCAACCATTAGATCACATAGATAGAGAACAAAGACGATCTCGTGGTAGTACACGATACTACAGGCTGGACGACGAAGCGTACAGTTATAATAAAAGGTTACAAAAAAGTATCAAGCAAATCTTTTTTCGTCGGGGAACCATGTTCCATTCTGATGGCGGGGATCACTGCCGGTGATTTGCCCAGTGTTTTTTTGTCATGGGGCTGACCAAGCAAGACTAACCGCTCATATTAAAGCACTCGTTTTATCAGTAAGCTTCGTGGATAGTAAGTGAAGTAACCGTCTGGAAGAGCCGTTCATGCGTACGATGGGGTGAGAAAAGTTATCGATTGAGTCGACAGCGTGCGCGTACAGCGAAGAGAAGTTCCGCAACCAAAGACTAACAGTTGCGTCCATTTGCCTTTACGCACAAAGACGAACACCATGAATAGTCGCATAGGAGCTTCTCTGCTCTAGCAACGGTCGCAACACTTTTTGCATCTGCAGAACGAGGACGAGGCAGACTCCAGAGAAAGTAGCCATGAACACTATTATAGTCGGTAAGATTTTCGACTTAGTCCGCGACACACCTTCATAATGCGACCACAACAGCCAACAAAATCGATACCCTCTTTACGAAACGAGGTCCACACGTTCAGCCATTAGCTAGCCTTGACCGGCACGAGTTATGCTTTTGGACAAACGTAACAGGTAAGACAGACACGAGGAAACTGCCCAAGAAAAAAAGTAAACATTCAGAACGAAAAAACATGGGGATAGAATGACTAAAAAAGCAAAGGGACCAACAAAACATAGTCGTTCTGACTTAAAGCAGAGTCACTCACCGAAAAAAAATCTGTGCTATTTGTTTAGAACACTTGAGTATAAGATTATCCTTGACATAAAGTGACATAACTTTTCAAACAAATAAACGTAACGTAATTACGGTTGAGTGATATCAGCATGTGCAATACACTTACTTAGAAGAGCTTCCAGCATTTATTAAGGAGAAACCTCGTAATGTTGTTCGCGTTCGAATTATTGATGTTGGAGTGAGCCTGGTAAAACCAACAAAATTTTAGGTTTGTAGACACGTAAGGCTACATTGAAACAGCATGCTGTCATTGGTCGTCCAAATGCGAATCGCATAAGATGTATCAGTTAAGATCTATGGATAGGCTCTTTTTTCTCGAAATTCTACAAAGTGACCGATCAACTTAAGATGTCCAACAAATAAAGCAGAGAACCAACTTATCCCACGAGCAGCTTGACCACGTCAACGTAGTTCAATGCTCTGCAGAATCGTCGACATTGACAGTGCAATAAGCATTTAGCACGTTTCTCGCTTACTTGCAGATTCACATGCGTGCCGACATGACGCTTACGGCGCATCTCACCTAATTTATCCCTGCGTGTTTTGGAAACGGTTTTGTTTCCACATTGTACGTTGTACCCTTATGCCCAGCGACGACATGGTAACATCTAACCTGACTGGTCAATCGGTCAGTTTAGAGAAGCATAAGGATTGTCGTTCCCTCGTGCAAAGGCCATTTTTTTAAGCCTACGTTCTTTCCTTTCGGATTTACGCGAAACGCGAAGAAGTACCAGTGCGTCCGTCACACACCGCTGAGTTTATAGGAAATGTCTTTATAAGCCATGTAGCGAAGAATTTTACCGAAAGTAGGTTTTACCCCCATAGGCCGAAAAAGACATGAGACCAAAAATGTGTTCTGTGCGCCTTCTCATCTCTCTTCACATACGTCCCCCACAAAAGTGTACTGCAACTGGCAGCTTTGCATCGGGTACTGCAAAAAAAAACAGCTGTTTTTGTTGGAAAGTGGGCCCAAGAAGTCGCGCCGGTTTGCGCATATCTGTTTGTGTCCCCGAAGGGACAGCCTGCCCACGTCTATGGGAACGGTTAATACGGCGGGTGAGCGACGTGGCTGTCGCGAATTGCCACTATCGCCAGCCGAGCTTGCCACATGGGTACAGCCACTGCTGCTTATGGTTAACCGTCGGTCGAGTGCGACGTCGTCTAGTCGCTTCGTCGGTTTTTCCGCCTCTACAAACGTCGTCCATCTCTTCCTCTACAATTCCAGTTGAACAGATTACAGTCCAAGGGGTTGACTGCCCCGCCAACTCTACAATGTCGTTTCAATATGACTTTGCTCGACAGAAGTCCAGTACCAGTGGCAACAGCAGCCGGTCTGGTCGTCTGCTACTACTACTACTACTGTTGCTATAGCACTGTATGTTGGCGAAGCAGTCGAAGAAACAGCAAAAAAGCATGGGACAAGGGAATGACAACAAAAACGATAACGAATAACATAAACCGAAGATGAGGCGATTACCCTTTACACTCATGTAATAACGGATACAGCTACAAGAAAAGTTTCTGCAGGTGACTTAGGAATGACGTTATCCCCGAGTACGCTGTTAGGACGAAAAAGATTTGAAGAAGGGGGAAACGTGTCTGTTTGAATCGACTGGTTCAAACTGTCAACTGTCGAGCAAAATGGCTACCACACCAAGCACGCTTGGTGCTGAACCTGTCACTCAAATTCAACCATGCATGAATCGCCTGCTTACCTTGAAATTGATATAGCAATCACACCGTAAAATAGTAATCGTGATTATTACTCTTCTACAAACGATTCGATAATGACGTATATATTTGTATATAAACCAAAACTTCTATAATTCTTATTATTATGAACCTTTCCGTTACTGACTCTAAGCTGTCCGTTCTACAACGGACCTCAGTATCAGTAAACTGTTCCAGGAATCTGCTAGAGTAGGGGGCTCAAGACAACCAATCTAAAAGGGTCAAACAAGAGCTTTTCTTTTTATGCAGACTTTACTGACAGATTAAAATGCGCATACCGCCGGATTCGAACCTAACCGCTTTGTGCCCTTCTAGTTAGTACGGAGACGCATTACTGCTGTACCACCACTTTCTATAATAATTATGCATACTTTTAATTTGAATCATTGCTAACAATTGCTCACTGGTGCATTTTTACGAACTATTCTGTATTATACTTTATGTGTGGACGTGTTACACCTCGCCTACTACGCCAGCCATAGGCAAATGTATTGTAGCTCAATATAAGTAGTGACCAGCTGGATTTTAACTGTTTTTTTTTTATATCCTGCTCAGACGGAACAGACCTAAAAACCAGATCTACAGATATGTGTGCTAGCTAAAAATACAAATAATTATAATCATGGTGTGTGTGTGTGTGTGTGTCTATATTATGAATCTGTGATTCAAGGAAAATCATTGGTTATTGACTACTTTTTTTTTATTTGCTAAGACGGCGTGCAGAACCTGTGCGTATCCGGCACATTAGGTTGGCCTATTGGTTCGGCCCTTCTTTTTCTTCAAACGCCCCATAATCGCTTCTAGCATTCGTGCGCTTCCATTGTCTACAGCTG